GATCTTATTTACTACCCAATGATGATTTAATCGTGATTGCAACAAAGTGCATTGCAATTTTTACTCTCATTGAAAATGAAATACAAATTATCTATTATGCTGGGACAGCTTTATTTGAGAATATTCTTCAACAACACCCTAAATTTCAACGAAGACTTAAACAATATAGTACTCATGAGCAGAATGGTGTGATAAAAACGCCCAAAGGTACTTTTACACCAGAACGTTTATGGGATGCTTGTTATTTTAAACATGTATTAGATTTTATTGATGAAGCGTCGGATCAAATAATTGCGCAGCATTTAGGAAAGATGATAACCACGTATATTAATGATTTTCATACATTTTCCCAATATTCACCAAATATTGTGAAATCAATTTTGAAGTCTAATGATGAAAAAAGAAGATATAGAAAGCATGACAATGAAATAATCGGTCTAATTATTGATAAATGTATAAGCTATTATAATGAAGATAATAACAGATTCGACGTATTATGTGCTATCACAAGTTCAATTTCAGAACTTCAAAAATTATATCCTTATTATGTTGCGCAATTCTTTGTTTGTACTTCTATATTTAGTCATGCGGTGTTAAAAAAAAAACTAACATGTTTGATCCATGTTTATAGGCTACCAGGACTGAGAACGATCTATTGAAACAGTGGCCATTACTGCGCCAATATCCATTGTTCGAAGTGTCTTTTTTGATGCTTCAAAACTAGTATTTAAGCTATCGCGAACAACCACTGTAAATAACAAACTAATGCGAATCAAGATCGATACTCTGCGAATGGCCACTATTCAGCCCTGTAGACTACTCACCTTGTAGTGGTTACGGCACGCAAGGTGCCAAAAAAGTAACAATAGCACAAGTCCAATGAAAACACCAATAAGGATAAATCTGTATTTGTCCCATAAGTTGGCTGTATATAAAGATACATAATTGGTGAATATACAAGAAAGTATGTACAAGAATATATGAATATTACGAATATCATGTGAACTTACGTAGTAGCCAAGCACCATTAGACTGATCAATGTAGTTAAAGGTGGTACCTAAGGAAATTGTTGAATTGCTCTCGAATGTGATTGTTTCATTTAAATCACTGGCAAGGCTAGCTGCGCCTCTACCATCTCCTTGGGCGATATTAACGCGCATAAAAATTTGATCATTATTATTTTCATTACTGTATTGATAACGTGTCGGTATTGTAATACGCGAGAAATCACACTTAATTGCTGTGGCAATATCATTGCTCATTTTTTTAACAAAGTCATATTGATCACTTGATGGTAAATTTACGTAATATGAAGATCCTTCATTGGTTAGACGAATGATAACGTTTGCATCACCTATGTAATTTATGTTAACAATGATATTTTTCTTTTGCAAAAAAAAAAAAACAAAACCTCACACCATCCTACTGTCATTACTATATGTTACGATATAGTCCACAATTCAACGTTTAATCGTGACAGCTCGCAAGGAGATTTGTCTGCTAGACGGTGTAAGAAATAAATATTTGGAAATTTATGATTACCCATATTAGCAAGAGTCCTAACGGAAATAAAGGATGTTTCATGATCCGGAAGAATAAGGAAGGGTTTTCGATTTTGATGAGAACCCAAATAAATAGAATTTTAGGATGGCGCAAAACGTGTATAATGTTGGGTAACATACCTGACATATATATATATAACGTAACACTCGTTTTAAGTTAGCTCCTGAAATTAAATCTTTTCTAGGCAATACTTAATAAAGCGTCAAACTCAACAAAAAAAAGCTCAAAAAACTCAATATCTGATTTTCAAGAAATAATTCGTCGTGAATGTTTGGCAAACACACTTTCTTAATGTCACGTGAGTGACAACAATTCGAAGTAACGTAATGAAAATTAAAAATTAACTACAGAACTACGTATAGAAAAAATTAGGCAAGGTTACGTAATGGCGTAAGCATTAATCTGTGCACATGATGCAATTATGCAATAATGTAAATAATATAAGAGGGACAATACAAGTTAAAAGACAGGTAATAAAAGTCTTAATTGTGCTATTGCCAAATACGTCATGATCATCTTTCTTCCATAAACAAATCGTTAAGCCTATCTGAAGTACGTACGTACGTACGTAGCTACATACTCCAACAGCTATTTTGTCGACAAATTTGATCTAATTTAAGTTAGGGTTGGTCTGAAATGGTTAGTGAATTTTACTAAACCATTTTAGATATACAACTGAACTTGTATTATCTACAATTGCTACTGTATTTAAAAGTTACAATTTTAAATTAATCACTATATTTTTTTATATATGAAATAATTTTTTTTTATTTGTTATTTTATATATGTATCTAAATCAGTATCTTCAAATATTTAAAACATCAATAGCGCTAATTCACACCAGTGGTGTTCAACACCACATACAGTCAAACCTCTCTAAATGCAACCTCCCTAAATGCATGCACTATGTAAAGCCTCCCTAAATGCACGTCTTCACTTGGGCCCAGCTAATAAACACTTATAGATTTTTACCCCAAATGCAGTACCTCTTTGAATGCACGTTTGACTCAATTTTTGCATATTGTCCTGCCGCAATGCATTTAGAGAGGTCTGACTGTATATTTTTTAATAGTTTTACTAGTAAAATTTAGGGTTAGGAGGCCTGAGCTATAGTAAAGATCACAGGTAAAACTATAAACCTTTTCCAAATGTGTTATATTAGAAAATTTTTATAAAGAATAGTGAGTTATTCCTA